GCCAGGGTGCCAACAGACAGCACCCCAGCCACTGTGCTAAATCTATGGAACTGAATAAGGAACTGGATTATGGGCTAGGATTATACCCAGCAGTCGTCTTGGGCCACCCCAGACTGCACCTCTGTGACACTGAGGGACTCTCATGGACATCTCTGAACAGAAACCTGCCCACCCCAAAACATCATTTGACCATGACAGGGTGCCAACTGACACCGCCCCCCCCCCCCCCCCCCCCCCCTCACCCGCATCGGACGAGAATTGTGGACTGGGATTATACCCAGAAATCCTTCTTGGGCAACCCCAGAACAAATCTTTGTGCCACCAGGGGACACTGCTGGACATTTCTGACTAGAAACTTGGCCACCCCAAAGCGCGGTTTGGCTGTGCCCGCCTGCCTACAGACAGCACCCCAGCCACTGTTCTAAGCATAGGGTCTTGAATTAGGAATCAATAGGTGGGCTGGGATTAGAGATGGAAATGCTTCTTGGGCCACCCCATGCCATGACTCTGCAGCACCGGGCCACTCTCCTGGACACCTCTAACCAGAATCTTGCCTGGCCCAAAGTGCAGCTTGGCAGTGCCAGGCTGCCAACTGACAGCCCCCCATTCCCACTGTATGAAATGCATTGACTTAAATAAGGAATTGGTTTTTGGGCTGGGATTATACTTAGAAATCCTTTTTGGGCCGCCCCATGGCATACCTGTGTCCCCAGAGGACTCTCGTGGACATCTTTGGCCAGAGACTTGCCCAGCCCAAAACACAGTTTGGCCGTGCCCAGCTGCTATCTGACAGCCCCCCAGCCACTGTTCTAAATATAATGGCTTGAATAAGGAACGGTTTTTTGGGCTGGGAGGGATGGAGGTGCGAGTAGAGCGGGGTTGGGGAAGGGGGGTGGGGCATGGGGCCAGTACCTGCGCCTTTCTCCCCACACCCCAGAGTGTGGTTTCTTCATGCCATGCCCACTGCACTAAGTATACTGGCTCAAATAAGGAATTTATTTTGGACCGCCAGTGGTAGAGTCCCTGGATGGCAGCTTTGGGTGAGATTCCCTTCCCAAGTGACATGGCTAGGAGGGAGCACCCCGGGTTGGTTTGCCTCTGACTGTGCCTGGCCCCATGCCCCCCCTTTTCCCATCCCGCTCTCCCCGCATCTCCGTCCCGCTGCTTCAGATCTGAACCCAAGCCACCCCCCCAACCGCTTCAGGTCCAACCACACTCCCCTCCTCCCTCCCACCACTTCAGGCCAGACAGTACTCTGGTCGGGGATGCCCAGGAGAATTGCCCAGTGCCACAGAGTCATAGAGTAGGATGGCCCAACAAGGACTTCCATCTCTAATCCCAGCCCAAAAAACAGTTCTTTAGTCAAGCCATCATACTTAGAACAGTGGCTGGGGGGCCGTCAGATAGCAGCTGGGCATGGCCAAACCAGGTTTTGGGCTGGGCAAGTCTCTGGTCAAAAATGTCCAGGAGAGTTCCCCAGTAGCACAGAGGTAAACCAAGGAGTAACCCAAAAAGGAGTTCTAAATATAATCCCAGCCCAAAAGCCAATTCCTTATTCAAGCCAATGTATTTCATACAGTGGGAATGGAGGGCTGTCAGTTGGCAGCCTGGCACCACCAATCTGTGCTTTGGGCCAGGCAAGATTCTGGTTAGAGGTGTCCAGGAGAGTGGCCCAGTGCCGCAGAGTCATGGCATGGGGTGGCCCAAGAAGCATTTCCATCTCTAATCCCAGCCCACCAACCAATTCCTAATTCAAGACCATATACTTAGCACAGTGGCTGGGGTACTGTCTGTTGGCAGCCTGGCATAGCCAAACCGCACCTTGGGCTGGGCAAGTCTCTGGTCACAGATTTCCAGGACAGTCCCCCAGTTGCGCAGAGGTATTCTGATGTGTAGCCCAAGCAGAATTTCTAGCCATAATCCCAGTGTTCCTTATTCAAGCCATTATACTTAGTATAGTGGGCATGGGGCTGTTAGTTGGCAGCCTGGCATGGCCAAACCGTGCTTTGGGCCGGGCAGGATTGTGTTCATGGTTCCTTGGGACAGCCCCCCAGTGGCATCACCATGAAATTTGGGGTGGCCCAAGAAGTATGTTGCCCCATAATCCCATTGTTTAGGGCTCTGTACTTGATGAGAGATATTATTTTTCATATTAATTAGTACATATGCATAGCTAATGAAATTCTCTCTTTGGGATGTGTAATTCATTAATAACAAGTTTTTATTGGGTCTAGATTAGCTTTGAAAAGGGAACGGGGATTAGGGAACCAGGAATAAGGAACCAAGTTCAGCCTCATGTAAATCTGGTGCTAATGAATCCGATTTAACCTTTTATGTAATAGACAATAGTGACCCACCAATACTTGGTAGGGTAGCCTGCACCACCATAGACCTTATCAGATGACTCCATGGAACGGCTCCGACAGCACCTGCAACCAAGGCAGACCTTCTCAAATGATACCCAGATGTTTTTGAAGGTTTGGGCTAATTTCCTGGTACCCATCACATCTATGTCGACCCAACGGTACCACCAGTTGTACATGGGTGTAGAAAAATTCCCTATGCAACCCTAGGCAAGTTGAAGCCTGCCCTCAAAAAGCTGGAAGAGAAGCTGTGGGAGATATTACAAAGGTGACTAAACCCACGCCCTGGCTCAATACCCTTGTGATCACACAGAAGGACTGTTCGCTATGACTTTGTTTAGACCCACAAGACCTCAACAAGGCAGTGATGAGGCAGCACTTTTTGATTCCCACTGTAGAAGATGTGCAGAAGAGCTTGTCAGGTAAGAAGCTGTTCACCATTCTTGATGAAAAGGATGGCTACTGGCAAGTCAAATTGGACAAGTAATCGACAGAGTTGTGCATCTTTAAAATAACCATGGGGGTGGCACCACTTCAGTTGCCTTTCTTTTAGTGTTAAGTCAGCTAGCAAAGTATTCCAACAGAAGAATTATGAGAGCTTTGGTGACATTCCAGGAATCCACATAATCACAGACAACATGCACATAGCAGCAACTACCAAAGAGGAGCAGGACACTATCCTGAAACAAGTCCTGGAGAGAGCACATCTGAAAGGAGTAAAGTTTAATAAGGACAAAATACAGTTTTTAGTAGACAGTGTTATATATATGGGCCATATCTTCTCACAAGATTGTGTCAAACTAGATGATGACAAAGTGGAAGCCATCAACAGAACAGACAAAAAGGGCCTTCAGAGACTCCTTGGAATCCTTCAGTACTCGGCGCAATACATTCCATACAAGTCAAGCCTGACAGCCCTGCTGAGAGCACTTCTCGGGAATGACTTTATCTGGCAATGGGAACCTGAGTACCAGGCACCCCTGGATAAGCTCAATCAAACCATCACAATGTCACCTGTGCTCAGGTACTTCAACCCAGCAGAGCAGCAACCCAGCAGAGCAGCTGAAAATCCAAGCAGATGTCTCCAAAGACAGCTTAGGAGCATGTCTGTTTCAGCAGAATCAACCAGTTGCATATGCTTTGAGGGCTCTAACACAAACAGAGAGAAATTATGCACAGATTGAAAGAGAACTTCTGTCATGGTGAAGACAATTACCACCCGTATGTATATGGCACCCAGGTATGGGTCCAGTCAGACCACAAACCCCTGGAAGCAATTTTTGCAGAGCCCATAGGAAAGGCTCCAGCACAGCTATGGAGGATGCTGTTGCAGCTCCAAAAATGACATCCAGATTCATTATACTAAAGGCAAAGACATGTTAGTGGCTGACACACTTTCTACAGCCACAGCGCTTATTCCTCCTCCTGAACCCGATCTTTTCCACTCAGAAAAGGCAATTCACGGTCTGACAGAAATGGAGCCACTCATTGGCCATTTACTCCAGCAGTTACAGGAGCACACAAAGTCTGACAAGGCCTTACAAGCCCTTAGAGCGTGGCATCTTAATGGATGGCCAAGCAGGCAAAAGCAAGTCAAATTTGAACTAAATCCCTACTGGCCTCTCAGAGACCAAATCTAGATTCAGAATGATTTGCTTACGATTGGGCCAAAAATAATCATTCCAAGTGGTATGAGAGCCAACGTGTTGACATTGCTTCACGTGCCCCATCAAGCTTGACAAATCATGTCTTGGCCTAAAATGAATGCCCACCTCGAGTAATGGATTGCAAATTGTGCACCTTGTCAAGAGCTCCAACCCAGTAATCAGAGCCCTTGGCTAGTACTGGCAGCAGACATTTTTGACCTACGGGGACAGTTTTATTTGATTCTAATCGACTATTACGCCAGATACACCAACCCTCCATCCCAGTTTTGTTTTTCTGGAGTGCCCATATTCTGGCACCTTACAGGGTACACATTGCAAGTTTTTTGGTACTCCAGCCAAAAATGTTGCCTACCCCTGGTTTACGCTGATTATTTTCCAATTTACAATTGTTTTAATTGACTACTGTAACTGACAAAATAATATTTTATGATTACTAGATGTTTTGATTCTGTTTTAATACAAAGCCTATTTGCCTATGTGTATGAAAAAAAAATGCTAGTGGTACTTAAGGCTGTATCATTTTAAATTGGTGGTACTCAGTCTATCAGAGTTTGGAACCACTGTCCTATGCCCCCCCCTCCCCTCTACACACATGCATCCCCCACCACACACACCCATGCCCTCCTAGACACCCCCCCACTCTTCCCCACCACACCCACACATCCTCCCACCTCATCCTCACACTCACTCAACACACCCCGCCATACACACATGGCCCCCTGCACTGTATCATACCCATACACACCCTCCACCATACACTCCCACCCCCACCCCACCCCCCACACAATACATGCTCACAGATCCTCCCACCACCATACTCTCCTGCACCCCACCCCCTGGCCAGGGGGAGCCTGTGCATAGGAGGATTTTGTGTTGCCCTGAAAGCACCTAATTTTATGGTACAGGGGATTATTGCTGGTATGAGTTAAATTTAACTGCCTTTTGGTGCCCCTCTTTCCTCATTCTGTAGGTTAAGACAGCACAGCAAGAGTGCCTGAAAGAAGCTGTTTCCCAGTTGCAGCAAGTTTTCCAGGCCAACACTTCTACTGCACTCAATATCCTAGGTAATGTAGATTGCATCCATTATGTTCTTACACAGCAGATTTCTTTTTTCCTGGTAAAAGTTAACTGTCCAGCTTTCTTCCTTTTTTGGAAAGCTTCAGACATCTTGCAAGGCTTTTGTAAAGACAGAAGGTGTAAACTCCAGAGAACTGGAATCCTTGTACAAGAGCAAATGTCAGGCATCTTAAAAGATCTACTGCCATAGGGTTCCTATAATCTGATTGTTCTAATATCATATTTCTATTTAGGCATCCTTGTAGCAAGCCTTGCTCTTTAGCATCCTTTGGTACCAACAATGGCCATCTCCATTTTGTTTCCTCTGAAAAGACCCATCCCACCTTTGTACCTCCTCTGCTGTCATCCAACATGTTAAACTTTGGGGCCAGTTGATAGAGAAATGAAGATTTGCACCACTAAGGAGAAGTTAAGGTTGTGGCAGTAGCTCAGGAAAAAGCAGCTGGTTGGTAGCTGCAGGACCAGGGAATGTCAGGGGCTGAGCTGGACATTAACTGAAAGAAACTCCTCCCCTGCACTCTTGAAAGTTAAATGAGAGAAGGATGGGGGTCTATGACATTCTCAACCACCAGACATACCCTTTTTGGGGGGTAATTCTTTCTGGATCTGTTTACACAAGATGATTTACTGTGCAGTAGATTAATCTACTGCACAGTAAAGTGTCAACATCTACATGTGTGCACTGTTTACTGTGCAGTAAATTAGTCTGTGCAGTAGTTTACTACCTGTATTTACAGGTAGTAGCTACCTGTGCAGTAGGTACTGCACAGTAGTGCATGTGTAGACACTGACCAGGAGAAAATTTACTCCTAATCAGCCCCAACATGAGGGGGCCACAGGAGATGGGGAACTCCCTCAGTCCTGGTACTGCTCAGCTCAAAACTTCCCCCAGGAGCCAAGCAGCACGTGGACAGGGTAGCTCTCTGCCTTCACCCTGTCCCAGCACTGCTCAGCTCCTGGCTCCCTACAGGAGCCGAGTAGCACCAGGACTGGGGAGCCCTTTGTTTCCACCACAGCCCGGCTGTTCAGGGAAATCCCCACCCAGCCTGGGGCTGGCTGGCAACTGCCCCAGAAGGGGAACAGATCCCAGCTGCACAGAGAAGCTGCGCTGTAGCCGACAGAGCTCTCCTGGCCCCGTGTGCGTGGGGAGCCAGCTCCATGCTGCCTGCCAGCTCCTGGCTAGCACCCCAGGGGAGCTCTCTCTGGCTGCTGCAGGGGACCAGAGCAAAGTAGGAACAGCCTTCTACCAGGCTGCTCCCATTGAAAGCAGATTAGCTACCAACAATAAGCATGTGTAGACATGGTCCCAGGGAAGGCTTACTGTGCAGTATTTATTGCACAATAAGCCTTTATAGCATTAATAGCATATGTAGACACACCCACTGGCATTGAGCTCTGGAAAAAAGAAATGTTAGAGTGTTCAGAGCACTGGTGTGGCAAAGTAGACTAAGCTGCTGTAGGATGGAGGTCAGTGAGCTTGGTGGAGAAGAGTTGAGCAGAGGCTGACAAACAGCTGCTGTGAAACAAAAGTAACGCTCTGTACATTTTCTTTGTTTTTTTTGCTGAATGTGCATTGCTTTCTTACCAGGGATCAGAAGCATAAAGGCTGGACACTACAGAGCAGCCTATATCTGCTTCAAGTTAGCAGCGGATCAGGGCTACAACAAAGCCCAGTTCAACGTAGGTCTGTGTTACGAGCATGGCAGAGGCACAAAGACTGCCCTGGGAAAGGTAACTCACTGCATGCTGGGCTGGGACTGGCCTGTAAGAGGCCATGCTCTGATGTTGTTTACTACAGAAATATAGCTACTGTGTCTACTTGCATCTTCACATGCACTGGTTAACCTTAATGTACCAGCAGGAGAATCAGTACACTTGGTAACAAGAACTCACATGTTCCTGGCTGGACAGTTTTGCTGTTCTGCTCAGGTCATATCAAAGTAGTGTTGTAATAGTGTGGTGTCCTTAGGGTCGCTGTGATCTCCCCTAAGGCCCCTTTACCATGCTAAGCTGGCCTAAAGGGCACCCTCAATTCTTGCCCGCCACGTCTTTGATGGAAAGTGTATGATAGGGAGGCTGCCTTTCTGTCATCTTAGACACGGTTTCTTGCTGTACACTGGCCCCAGGGCTCCTGAATCCCTTGTGGGCCCCATTCTATAATGGGTATTTCAGGGCACCCCAGCCTTATGGGCTATGAGAGGCTCTGACCACCCCTTTACCACACCAAGCCTCACAGATGGAACTGATGTCATTTGGTCTGGGCCATTACAATTTGGCCCCCTTGTCCTCCCTCGGCTCTCTGCAGCCCTGTCTCGCTCTGCGCCCCCACTGGCGCTCAGGCTGGTGCACTACAAACACTGTGCCTTCTCTGGCATTGGGTCAGTGCACCCCAATTACTGCACCCTCTCTGGCACCAGGGTCCTCACGCTACCATGGGTCCCCTATGAGGCCTCCTCCATCCCCTAATAGCCTTACCCAAGCCACTGGTTTTAAACAGCAAACAAAACACAAGCCCATGGGCTATAACAAATTCAAGCCGCCTGGCTAAAACACCATTATTCCAGCCACCCCAGGGGTGCTCCATCCTTTACCAGCCTCAGGGCTGTACCTGTAGCCAGGGCTCTCCCCTCCCCCCCTGCTTATTCTGGGAGAGCTCCTTCCCCCTTTGCTGCTGGCAGACAACTGCCCTCCTGGCCCTGCCCCTTCCAGTCAGCTGACTAGGTACAGGTTCAGCCACTTCCCTCATTAACCGGTTGTCCTGACAACCTGCTGGGTTCTTATCGCTGCTCTCCAAGTAGCAGGCACCTGGTAGAACACTGCCATAGTAGAACATAGGCATAGTTACACCTAGATCCTCCCTAACCAGTGGCTATCCAATCTCTTCTTGAACACCTCCATTGATGAAGAGTTCACAACTTCCCTAAACAGTCTATTCCACTGCCTCCCTATTCTAACAGTGAAGAAGTTTTCTGGAGATCCAATCTGAATTTATGTTGCTGCAACTTCAAGCCATTGCTCAGCATCCTACTTTCTGCAGCAGGAGAGGAAAGGTGCTTTCTTCTTCTTTATGGCAGCCCTTCAAGTATTTGAAGGGCTGCCATAAAGAAGAAAGCCCTTCAAGTATTTGAAGGGCTGCTATCATGTCCCTCAAGTGCCTTAATCCCAAGTAGTTGTAAAAAGAAACAGATTAGGGCTCTAGGCAACACATGTGCTTGTGACCAAAGATCCTTATTTTGTTGCACAGCAATGCTCCTCTCCCTCCACCTTCCAGTCATGAAAAAAAAAAAAAAAAAAAAAAAAAAAAAAAAAAGGACTTCTAGCCCTAATGACTAGAGATAAGCCTGAAATCACAGCTCAAGTGTCAGTAGCTGTGACAATGCCCATCTCAGCTGTAGCTAGCCTGAGCCAAGAATTTCAACATATAGAAGAAACCACACCTCTCACCTCCAGAGGTAACTCTGAACTCTAAAGAGGGCAGTTACACTGCCAGCATTCAACTATTCTCTACTGATTGAACAGGTCATACACCTAACAGGCTTCTCCCACAACAGCTGCTGCATGGTTCTGAGCAAGAGTCTCCCCTCCCTTTTTGAAATGGCTCTAAATGTATGTGTCCATACCCTGTGATGTTACACTCTTGCCTTCAAGAGGTTTAGCATGGTTCCAAGTGCAGGGAATGTGGCCTTCGGACAGTGTAAGTACCGGCACCAAAAGGATCGTATCCTACTCTGCCTTCCCTGCTTCTGATGCTATCCCACCTTCAGATTCCCAAGCTGCAAAAGCACTTTGAAAAAGCTTAAAAACATAAGCTGCTTCCCTAATATTGCTCTTTTGTATGAGCCATTTCTCAGGTTGCTACGAGGATGTAATAGGGTGGCATTATGAGGGCTGGGGTGAGGTATCAGTCATATTGTGTGCACATGTGGATTTAGCTTTCCTTAGGAGGTAGCACCTGTTCACAGGGAGACCACCCAGAACAGTTCTCTCCTGGGATCAGGGTTTTCCATTTCCCACAGAGAGAGAAAAAAAAACACACACAGGTTTTTTACCTCCCTCCCCACCTTACCCAAGTAAAATGTAAATATCTCATTTTAGCAGAGAAACCCGTGGATTTTGCAGTTTTGCAATGAGTCCTCCCAGGCTGGCAGAGTTGCAGCCTGTAAGGGGCTGGGGAGAGCAGGAGGAGGGCAGTCAGGCAGGGGATGCCTACCAGGCAGCCTGGAAAGCAGCTCCTGCAGGTAAGTTGGGGGTGGGATTGAGGCCCCCATAGGGAGGGAGTTGGGCAGGGCTGGGGCTGCTGCCTAGCCAGGTGATAGATGGGGCTTAGGGCCCAGAGCCACAATGCGTGGCTGCAGGGCCCCAGCAGGGAGCGGGGACCAGTTCCTCACCGTTGCATGCACTCCCATGGGAGGAGAGGGGGCATATTTCCCCCAAATCTGTGCTTGGATCAGGCACAGGCTCAGGCTCCTGCCCTCCCCTGGGACCCCTACAGCCCAGCAGGTATGGCCCAGCACTGCAGGGCACAGTGTGGCCTCACAGAAGAGCTGCTTGCTACTGTGAGCTTTGCACTGCCCTAGAGATGCATCTCCCGTGCGCACCCCTGTGCCTTAGCCCCTGGTCATGTAGGGGATGCATTATCAGGGCAGCACAGAACTTGCAGCAACAAGCAGATTCCTGTGCACAGCTGTGCTGTGACCTGCAGCACCAGCTCATGCATGCTGGGCTGCAGAGGCCCTGGGGTAAGGGAGCATGGCAGGAGACTGAGCGCACAGCTGCTCCTGGCCTGTGCACAGATCTGGGGGGCGTGGGTCCCCTTGCCCCCTACAGGCAGCATCAGGGAAGGGGGGCAGGGGCAGAAGCCACTGCTGCAACAGTGGAGCCTGGGCTGCAGACCCAGATCCCTGGCCCCATAACTCTAGCAGCTGCTCCCCCCCCCCGCCACTCAAGCAGGGCTGGGGGAGCAAAGGGCACCCCTTTAAAATCATAGATTTGCAACGGGGGGGGGGCGGTATTAGAGAATTTGGGATTTTTTTTTATTTTTTTTTAAGTCAGGGAAAACTAGGATCCCTGGTGATCATACCTCAAAAGCCACTTTAGTATTTGTGTGTGAATGGTAGGTTACAATTTGCCTGAGGGCTCCAGTGGGCAACTGTGATAGGGCTGCACAAGTCAGGTAAAGGTTTCTGCTACGTGGGAGAATAAGTGAGTTTATGGTGGTGTAGTGGGTTCAGAGTTATTGCTTAGCTCAAAGTCTTTTAATACTATATAGTCCTTTATTCCCAGGGAACACTTACTTGTCCTACTGGTATCCTCCTGTAGGAGTCAGTCCTCAAACACTAACAAACACAGTCCATAGAAGGTTAATTCACAGGTGTGAATCCTCTTAAGCTGGAGACGTCTTCTCAGGGGCTAATTACTGCTCCTTCCTCATGTTACACAAATTGCCAAATGCTCAAAACTATGAGGGAAGATAAGCCAAGATGCTGCATTTATTGATTAAGCACTTACTAAAACACACACCCACCATATTCATACCCCAATTTCTGTTCTGCACTGGTATATGTTACCAGTCTTATCAGTGCTCAGATCAACTTAGTGATCAACTTGGCTGGCCACAAGTGGGAGCTGGGCTCCTGACTGTCCATCATGTCATTCTGGAGTATTGGTTCATCTGACATGCAGAACAAGACCTAAAAATTGATGTTTCACCCCATCTTTTATAGCTTTGTCAAGTCACCCAGTCCTCTGGGCTTTTGCTGGGTTATCACTGTTCCCTCTCGAAGCTGTTGTTCTCACTGTTCCAGGGCAGATTTTTCTTGTTCGGCCTTTTATCTGTCTACATTCTTCAGACAGTCACCAGCCGTTTTCCTTTTCCACAAATACATTCTCACCCATACAGCATACAAAAAGAGTAAAAAGGCCAAGCACTTACATCAAGCTACAGAGCAATACAAAATGGAGTTTCTTAAGGCAATGCAAAACTCAAGAAAATACATAAAATTAAAAGCAATAGGCAAGAATCTATTTCTATGTTATTTACCTAACATCAAGCTGGTATTTATGCTATTTACATACTACTTACTGCAGTCTTTCCTCTTAACCTGGCTGTGGCTCAACTCTCTGCCATGGTGGTGCTGCTCCCAGTCTCATAGCCCTTAAATCTCTCCTCAGACCCTAGAAATTCCTGGTCTAGCCAAGCAATATTCTCTCATTTTCCTATCTGTCTGACTCCCCTGGCTTCCCCTTCCTAGGAGCCTTTTAACTTCCTGTAGCCACTGATTATCTCCCTCCGCTGGCCTGGTCCTGAGCAGTCTGTACCTAGCGTTACTGCCTGCAGCTGGGCTGTAGCCTTTGGCTCTAACAGCCTGCTACAGATGGGAGCAGGCAAGAAAATTTAACTGCAGAAGGCTACAGTGGCACCTATGTCAGAATGGACCCCTGCAACTTCCCCATTAACATCCTTAGGATATTGCAGTCTGGTGCACATACCACCTAGGTGTCATAAGGATGTTTCTCTGCTTTCAGGCAGCTCTCTATTACCATCATGCAGCCAGGAGTGGGCACCTCAAAGCCCAATACCGCTATGCCAGGTGCCTCTTACATTATGGGTCCAAAGCAGAAAAAGCAGACCTGCAAAAAGCAAGGATTCTTCTGGAGCAGGCAGCAGCAGCAGGACTAATGGAGGTAAGTGTCTGTAATACAGAGGATATTGAGTAGTGCCATACCAGTAGAGTTCCTCCCCTTTCTCCTGTCCCTGGAAACAGTGGAACACAGATCATCCTAGAATGCATTACCTTTTGGACCACCCCTCCCCAAATATGTGGCATGTACCTACTTGCCATTTCCATGCTGGAGATGGAGAGCTACAGCAATGTCCATCATTCTTTATGGAAGTTTGTCCTTAGCTTTAAGTGTTGAGCTATTTGCTTGTTTTTTGGGTTTCTTTGTTAAGGATTGTGCTAACCTTTCTCCACTTCCTTATGAGAGTTTTAACTATAGTGTGCCCAAACCACTAGTTCCCATCCTACTAATCACTCTGTGTTTTTTGTATGAGGGAGGTATGCAATCGCCATCTTTGCCCCAGGTTTTGGATCCTTACTTCATAAAAAATGGAAGAGAGGACTTTTCCTCTGCCAAATGTTAGGAATTGGTGTTGAGAACTTTGTCCTGCTCTTCTGAGTCTGACACCACCAGCCTTGTATATCCCATGCCCAGAAGAATCTGCCACTAGGGAAACATCCATTTTCAGTAACCAGGGGCATGGTTCATCCAGTTAGAGAACCATACAGAGATTTGTATCAAAGTAAGCTGCACATCCTCAGAAGGCAAAAGACATACCTCATTAATAGATGTCAGCTCCCATGAATTTAGGAATCAGACACCACATTTTGGAGTTGGCTTCTCATGGCGTCACGCTCCCAGCTCTCAGTAGGGAATCAAACACTGCTCAGTGTGTCACTACCCAGAGCTCCACTTTGAGAGCAAAGTGGGGCAGGGAGACCACCCCTGCTGGCGCTGCCTCCAGGATCCCAACACCAGCCATTTTGCCGTGGCTGCCAAGGTGAGGTACCCCCTGCTCAGTGCAACAGTGGAGGGCACAACTTTGTGCTGCCACTGCCACCCCCCTCACACACACACTGCTGGGCAGGCAGGGGACATGTCACCATGGCGGCTTGGCTGACACAGGGCTCCTGGCGACAGCACTTGGTCTCCCTACAGTTCTCCACCCTCCCATACTGTGTCCAGTCTGCTGGGCCACAGAGATGGCTCCTGCCACGTGCCGGTCTGGCCAGGCTGCAGCCCCATGCCCAGCACTCCATGGTCACTGCAGAAGTCTGGGGAGGCATATCCCCCCCATAGTCCCCCATGTCACCAGTGGGTGTGCCCAGATGGTCCCCAAGCCAAGGCCCTCCAGCCGTCCCATCCCATAGATTTCCCTGTATAGTATCCAGCTGCCAGGGCTGCTCCCACCACCCTGCCTGGCTGTATTGCCACCCTTATGTGTATGCATGTGCACATGCACGTGATGCCCCCTGCCTCCAATCACCCTCCCATTCCCTCCAGCCCCAAGCAGCTCATTGCAGGCTGGAAATTTGCATTTTTCTCCTTTAAAGGGGAAAATTCATGCTTTTCCATCGAAAACAGAAAACCTAGGTCCCTGGTCATAATACACAATGTGCTTGGGGCAAGAACAGCCCCAGCTGATTTACAGCTGTGTCTACACATAGTAAAATTACTGTGCCTGGCAGCAGGGCCCTAAAGTTCACTAGGCTGCCCCATACTGCCTAGCTCCTAAACCAGAAGCAATGCTACCATTTCTCCACAGAAATCCAGGAAAGTTGGTTGGCATAGGCCCAGCTAATAGACATAGTGACTCAGAACTGGTAATATGCTAACCTTAAGCACTTTATTTACATTGCTTCCAATTTGGAAAGCAGTGCACACAGAACAATGTGGATTGTTTGCTGCCAGGTATGGAGAATTTACTGGATAGATGTGGCTTAAGAGATCCATTCCTCTTGGACTGTTGTTAGATGTCCTTTTTTGCAGCTAGTTTCTGAGCCTTCATATTTCATGATGCTGAGAAAGATCACGTATGACACATGTATGAGAAAGATCACACATGATCACTCTGTTCTCTGCACCAGCTTGGACTTCTCCCACCTGCTGCACCTGTCTCTGGATTCTTTAAGTCTTACTATTGGGTCTCCTGTCTCAAGAGCAGGGCCAAATGCTACAGGCCAGATACTGTTTTTGATACTGCATAATGGTTGCCCTGCAAAGGTCAAGAAAGTTCAGCAGGAGCCCCTCCCACACACATCCCTGCTCTATATAAGGTGCAAAGGGTTTTCTGTTAAATTCTCTCTTCCCATCATTTGGGACTACCCACTTTATCCAAGGCAGTCTCACTTTTTACTCCATGAAATGAGAATGCACTTGGCTGCGACTTCAGCCTTCCATCCACTAAAATGGACCCTTGCACCTCCTGCTGCCTAAAGTAGTAACATTTTGGAAAGCTGACTTTGTGTATATATTCATGCTCAAGAATTGCTCTTCAAATTTTCTGTCCAAGGGAGCTGTCAGTTTTACTAATTGATTCTTGAAACTTCCTGTTTTAGTTTTTGGCTGTAGCATTGGGAGGTTTAGACACTCAGATACTTTTTGAAGAGGATGAAGGGTTCCATATATTCATTACACTAGCAAAAGGGGATAGTAATAAGGACCAGTCAGTTTCCACCCCAGATATTACGAGGAAGTTATAGTGTATGCGTTCTTATTAGGAAGTGGCTGGGATCCCAGTATTAATAGGGTTTGAGAGCACGTGCCACATCAGATGCCTACTGTCCTTCTCCAAGATATTCCAGGACTCTTTTTTGGAGTTCCAGCAATCTGTGCTGACAACTGGACTCTGGTGCACTCACAAAGCTGGAAGCACTAATCTTAGCCACTAGTTAGCCCTGACCACACCTTCAGTTTAAGGCGAGATGGTAAGTTTTGTGTATTAACTTTGTGGCTTATTCCCTGTTTTATCATGCTATTAATTGCATGAATTGTGTGGCTGGATGTAAGAAGGAGCCTTGGGCTTCTGTTACTTTAATGAGAGAAATAGCAACAGATAAATCCCAGGGAGCTGAACAGGGGCTAGCCACAAGAAGAAGGGAGCAAAGAAACACTGCTGCCTAAGCAGATAGCTGCCCGTTAGAGGGAAGGGGAGTGCATCTCCAGCCAGTTAAGAGAGCTCTGCCTGGGGAGGAGTGAGCTGCAAGGGAATTGACAGCTAAGGTAATAAGCCCCTAGGACAAAGCCTAGCTGGGAGACTGCTAGAGCAGCAGTCATAAGCTGCCATGGCAACCAGCCTTCAGGCCCTAACAAGAAACCCCTGCTCAGCTGGAGTGCCACCTGGCTGGAAGGGGCTTATAAACTTAAGAAGTTTATAAGCCTAAAATGTAAATCAAGAAGACTGGCCCTAGCAAGCTGCAGAGTGGCCAACTTCTGGCCACAGACTACAGAAAGAGGCTCTGCTGCCTCCTGGAATTCCCTAAGGATGTAAGTAGGGTGTTTCTGTCAGGGAGGTATAAGCCAGGGCAAGGGGAGGTATGGCTGCTCTGACAGTAAGGTACTGTTGATGTTTGGACTGTGCACAGATTTAGTTTGTTATAGCCAGTGTGCTTATTCTTCTGTTAGAGTTTCATCTGGTGGTTTGGGACTGGTGGAGGTCCCAATAGTGCTACAGTGCATGAGGGTGTCCTGAGCCCACCAGAAGCTAGGGGGCCAGGACATGGAGTGAGTTTTGGCCCCAAAATAGGTGGCAGCCCGAAGGGAGAGGGTAGGCTAGTTCAGGCAGTAACCAAGCAGGACCAAGGAGTGCAGACAGACCAAACTGAAGTAGCCTTAGTTCTGTGAGCTGGGTGGAGAGTGCCCAGAACAGGGCAGAGACAGGACCAGGGGCCTAGACAGACAGAGCTAAAGTAGACTCAGCACCCTGAGCTGGGTGGAGAGCACCCAAAGCAGGGTGGAAGGACCCAGACAAACATCTAGGGTAAGGCCAGGGCCAGGAGTGTCCAAGAAGAACTGACACCAGGTCCAGTGGGCCCAGGATCCAAATAAGAGAGAGATGGGGGCTGGAACCCAGAAGCTCAGTCTAGCACAGTAGACTGGAGCTAGAGGGCCCAGCAAAAGAAAAGGGGCAGAGGCTGAGGCTCTTGACAAGGGAGCAATTACACAGTGATATCTTTAAGGCATGAGCGTGGTATAAGGGGTGGTTGGAACCACATAATTAGCCTTTAAGGCCAAGAGTGGAAACATCTAAGCTCAGAAGTGTGAGACCAGACTTGGGAATCCCTGGGGCAGCCTTGGTTTAAAAAAAACAACAAAAAAACAGAAAAATAATAGCATCCAGGCGTGGCAGAAAAGTCTAGGGGAGATAGGCTGGACAGGGCTATCTCTCTTTGGGCAGAGGGGGCTCCAGAGGCATCATGGCCACACCTGGCACTCTCCACCCAGCTCACAGCACTGAGCCTACTTTGGCTTCGTCTGTCTGGACCCCTTGGTCCTGCTCTGTTGCACCTGGTTACTAAAGATGTGATTATCTACTTAATCATGTTTCAAGTGTAATGTCTGCCACTGGTCTCAGTCTTTACATCAGACCTTTGGTTTGGGAAAATCAATCTGAAATTGAAAAACTTTATCCTTGCATCTCTGCAGTCCTGCTGTAAGATAGAGTGCAGATCACTGCAGACCATGTTTGAAGAATGAACCATCACTTAATCTGATAACTTGTCCATCAGGATTACTTGTGGATCTGTGCTCCTCCATCTTTTCCCCTGCTAGTCTGTAGCTATTCCAAGATGGGCATTCAGTGACAGAAAGTAAGAGGCATTTGGGGCTCGAGGTATAAGTGATCTAGCTAGGGACTTGGTTGCCAGGTTATTTATCATGCACATGCCTAGTCCCTAGGGACAATATTTCTGAGAATGTGGGGTGTTGGTGCAACAAGGAGAGCTCTCTGCCTAAGTAGTAGTCATGGCAGTACAGCTACTCTGGTAGGTTCCTGTCAACTAAGGCTTTTGGCAACAGGCCCAGTACATTTTTTGCACTGTACCAAAGACTGTGTACCAGTATGGGAAAGTAACCTTGGTTTTTACAATGATTTTATTGCTCAAGTACAATGGTTAAGCTCAAATCATGTTTTCCCAAAGACATTTTCTTTACATATATTCAAGGCTTACTCTTCTTTGCCAAGACAGAGGACAATCCCTCATTCCTTAGGAATAATGTATTCCCTTCCCAGGAAGCTGTACAGAAAGGAGGATGTTTCCTTCCTCAGTGTTGTTGTAAAGTCCACAGGACATCATGGCTTGATTCTCTGACAGGGAGCCAAGTACTAGGCATCCTGATTGTAATGCTTATGAAAAATTGCGAGCCAGCTATCCTGAGTGATTTGTGTGTGTGACTTGCTGCAGGCACAGGCCTACCTTGGGGTACTCTACATGAAGGGGATGTTTCCTGCAAAGCAGAAGGCTCTGAAGTATCTGTGGCTGGCAGCCAAGAATGGGGTATGTGCTTCTTTTCCCATGAACACGATGTTATACCTGCTGTGGTCTTGTATTCTCCATCATTCATTCATCTCTGCAGCAGGGCTCATTGGTCAGGAACCAGGACTGTAGACTGTCAGGGCAATGAGATTCTCTCCGAATAGGAAGGTGAGCTGCGGTGGCATGAAGGAAAGGAGGGGCACTGAAAAACTTCAGAAACACTGGGTGAATTTCTAAATTCACCCCATCCACTCCACAACCGCCTGCCTCTCTTCCCTGCCCACCGCCTCCCCCTCCTTGCTGGCTGTTCTGGGGGACAGCAGGGGTGCACCTGCACCAAGATTCCCCACCCCGCTTTGCCCTCAGACGGGGGAATCTCTGCAGCTCAGGTGGCCGGGGCATGTTCGCCACCGCCACAAACTTCCTCAGCAGTGGTGCAAACTTTGGCCTGTGCAGCCAATCGCTACCCACCCTCTTGGCGGTGCATGCGCAGTTGGCCAAAAGCATTATGGACAGACACACACTAAGCCCTTTTTAGATATTGATAAAGAATTCCATAGGCTAATCGCTTTTCTAAAATATTCAATTTATCAGGTTTAATGATAGAATCATAGAGAAGTAGGGCTGGAGGGGACCTCTATAGTCCAATACCTGTCAGTCTTTGTAAATCAGAGTGCACAAGTGACCTTCCCCCAATCCATTAATTCTTTTGTATGTGTGCCACATTAGCCCTTGAACCTCTCCCCAGAGTCTTATTCAGCCTTCCTTTTCTAGAGAGGCCTTTTCAGGGCTATGCTCCTGCTTTTCTTTTTTTTTTTTTTTTTTTAACCCGTCTCTAGGCCCCCTCTTTTCCCCATGAGATGTCTAATGCTGCATATAAAGCCATTCCATATTTAGATACCTGCATTTTAATGAGATACTTGTAGTGAAGCCTATATCTTTCCAGTTAACTTTCAGTGGTCACTGTGTCTGAGAAATTTGGATTGCTCGTTCCCTATGGACCATTTATTTAGTTTGGAGTAGGAACTTGTGTGGCAGACTTTTAGAAAACGGTGATGTATGGTTGGCCAAAAGAGAACTTTTTGCTGATGAGGAAGAGCAACCTCCCAGTAGGTATTCACTGCAGCTTTCCAGGACTTCCATGATTCTGTTCTGTGGGAGGAGCACACTTTGGTTGGTTCACCATGAGTTATAGTTGGGACCACACATGTTTCCTTAGCTCTGACCTTTGTTTTTTAGCGCTTTCTTAGTTCTTAACCATTTCATTATGCTATTTGATTGCCAGGCCAGGAGTTTGGTTTGTATCTATGTTGGAGTCCTAGAAATCCTACAAGTCCGGAGGAAAAAAAAAAAAAAAGATGAGGAAGGAAAGGGAGATGGTCTACAGTGAAGATATTTCTCAGGAGATGCTTAGAAATGTAACTTATTGATGGGGGACTAGTCTAGGCAGACCAGGTTGGACAGTAGAACAGTAAGAACATCTGTAAGTCTAGCAGAGCTTCAAGGTTTGGGCTCTATACTGTTATAAAGGCTGCCTTTTCCTATACATGTATTCTTATACTTTGTCCTTGCTGGGCTGACTACTATGTGTCTATTACATTTAGGATTCCCAAAGCAGGTACCATGTTGGTGTTTGCTATGAAGAGGGCCTTGGAGTCCAAAAGAACTTGGCAGAAGCAGTGAATAATTACCAGCAATCAGCTGCTGCAGGAAACAGGCTTGCTTGGGGGAGAGTGCAAGCCCTAGAGCAACAGTATGCAGGTACCATAAGCCTGGGATGCCTCAGAGAAGGGACATGTAGAGGTGCGTGGGGAGGAGTGGGAGAGTTCCCACTGCCAGCACTCTGGGTCAGGTTGCCATGAGTGGTGAGACCCTGCGCTTTGGAAAGGAGAGCATCCATTGCTGCAGGTATTATTACAGGGGAAGGGTTTCTCTCCCCTCAGTCTCTGTGTACTCAGTGCTCATTTGTCAGTTCCTGGAACATTTGAATAGAGGGAGCACTCCTGTGAAGCTTGAGGTTTTCCTAACATCTTGTGTGTATCGTCCATGCAGCCTCTGGAACCAACTGCCTAGCACCTTATCCAAGGATAAGAACAGTCTCCTCCAGCCCCAGCCTTTTGGTCCATGAGCAAACTGCCCCAAAGCCTCAAGCCTCTCAAGCAGATCGTCTTGGTCTAATTCTGTCCCACTCCTGGAGCACAGGCAGTTGTGGTGCAGCCACCATAAGAAACCTGAGATGAAGGCCTGCTCCGGAACAAGATGAATACACTAGATTCCTGTCACCTTGAGAAACACTCATGGCTCTAATTTCGGGAGATAGCAGTCCACAGATAAAGACTGTCAGGAAAAAATCCCCTCCTTTATGTAAGGTGTATAAAGAGAATAACATTGCCCTTCTGCAGTGCCTCAGCTCTGGCAGAAGTACAGAGGAGCAGGGCAGTGCAGAGCAAGTATAATGATAGAAATGGAAAGAGGTGGAGACATTGTATAGAGAGGGGGAGCAGTAAGGAAAAAATTCTCTATTGGAATAGAAATGATCTATAAATATAGCTGCTTCTAAAATGGAGTTTCTTTGTGTGCTCTACACTCCCTTATTGGCTTCATGCTTCCCTGTCTACTCCCAGAAACGTGTTCTTTGCTGTTATCCATCCAAGCCCCAAACCTGACCAACTGCTCTTGTCCACCTGTGACCTAGCTTTATTATACCCCACCCCAATCCATGCTGAAGCTGGCACTCAGCTATCTGGTCTGCCCCAGTCCTCTGTTCTCTTGAAAGTTCTGATGCTATGGCACAGCTCCTAGAAGTGTTCTTTCACCAGCACCCTTTGGCCTATCCTTTAAAACACAAATTACAGCAGCAGTTTTAAACTAAATCAGTTTAAAAACAGGATACAGACCCCAGGATGCACTAATCAGGTCAAAGTTGATTCCTATGGGTTTAGCCTATGCCTGTTCATTTTCTTACACAAGTTGAACAGAGACAAATGAAGTTTAAACTGCTTTAAAACTATCCATACACAAATTGTCCTGAGTTAACTAAACTAGCATCAAATCCCTCCCTGGAGTCAAACCACTGAAATCCTGCATATAATATAAACCAGGCCTCTCAAAGACAGGAGCACTACCCTTGTCCTGTACTTGGTCTCAGCCTTACTGGCCTCCATTCAGCAAATGTGTGGCACAGCCAAGACTCTAAAGACGGTTGCAAATTCTCTCCTTGATCCCAAATCTCATACCTTCCCCCACCCATTCTAAGCCTGCTCAGTCAAATTGCTCTTCCTGTGTCAGGCAGTTTGCAACCAACAGAGAACTTCTTCCACTGATGATAACCTAGGGCTATTCCTGCCCTAGAGCATCATCCCTGATCAACCAGGGACACCTGCATCCACCAGCTTCCTTTGTTGACTGGGGAAGAACAGTTTGAAGCTTGAAGACTTTAAGCCAAGGGAATGGAATTCATCCCCTTGTTGATTTCCTGTCATGTGAAAATATGCCTAATGACAAATACATTAAAATAGTGCTTGGTGAGGAATCTGCGTGGTTACTGTCTGCTTGTCTTCCACTTTTTTTAGGGATGTCCAGTCTGAGTTGAGGGGCAAACCCTACAACATTGCCCCTCTTAAGTCAGTTTTATTTCATCCATGATTTTGATATACAAAATCAGTTCTGCATTTGTGCCAGATTTTGGCCCACTCTCACTTGATTCTGAAGGAACCAGTTTTGTTTCTGGACATGAACAAGACGCTGATAAGAGCAGGGTGATAGTGTATGTGGCATAGGAAACCGGTCATATAACTGCATTTATTACTAAGGTCCTCGTGCCAGTCCCTAATGCATTTTGGAGAGTACAGCTGTAGAAGAATTAGTGTTTTGGAAAGTTGCAGATGAACAAATATATATACACACATACACCACCTTTGTGGATGAATCCTGTGGTCCTGGAGAGGGAATTTTTAAAAGAGATGGAGATGTAGGATCAATCTCATTCCACAAAAATATACTGGTAGTGTAAGTGTTTTCACTTCTTTAAATGGTAAGGCCTCTCCCCTGCTACTCCAGATCCATCTTTTCCAGTGTGCACCAAATTAAAACAATGTAACACTACTGAGCATGCAGGCAAAGTAGGGCAGTAGGTGTGAGCATTTGTTAAACAGGGTGGCTGTAGACTAGATTTGTTAAAGGAGAACCAGAAATGCAAATCTAGGCCTCCCCAAACCAGACAGACATACTGTAACAAACCCCTGCAGTGTCAGGCACAATCACTACAGCCAATGAGGAATTTACAGGCAGTCCTCAGACTTATGACACAATTGGTTCCTGAAAACTATGTCTTAAGTTGAAACGTCATAACTCAGAACCAATTTTCCCATAGGAACAACGTTGTACATGGGGGATTGGTTCCTGAACCAAGGCCTGATACCCTATTTTCACCAAAAATAACCCAGAATTTTGTACTCAATCAATTATACATGAGTAATATAGCTACATTAATGCATTTGTATTATAAATTGCGATCATACTGATTTGGAAGGACTTGTTTAAGGTGACTTTGCTGGACTTTTTGAAGGGCTCTTGGCTGGAGTCTTCTCAGGAGTCTTGGCTGCAGGTTTTTCTGGAGTCTTGTCTGCTTTCTTAAAGAAAGTATGCAAGGAAGTTTGGACAGATGTTGTCCAGGGAGATGGGCGATGCAGTGAACGTGACACGACGCCAGCAAACAAGTCAGATCAAGCATTGTAAAGTCAAAACTGACGTCAAAGTCAAAACAGTGTCAATTTCTAAACATTGTAAGTGCTGTCCGTTGTAATTTGAAACGTCTTAAGTCAAGGACTGCCTGTACTTTGTATTGAGTGTCCTAGGGGTTAGGGTCACAGGCCAACAGGGAGGGACAAATACAAGTAGATAGGCATCCAGAGTATAACAACATACACTTAGAGGGCTAGTAAACAGGTAGTGGTCAGTACCGCTGGGGTACATGCATTCAACACATACAGTCCCCTACCCACCTCCAGAAGTGTCCCCAAGATCCAGCCTTTAGTGCAGAGTTGCTCTGTGTAGCTCCATAGGTTAGGGATTGTGTGTAGTCAGTCTGTGGCTCATCTATGCTGTGCAGAAGATTCCGTCTCCTTCAGTCCATCTCACAGCTGGCACCATAGCTCCCTGGCATGTAGCCAGCCAGGGCTCAGAGATGGCCTCTTCCTCCTGCTCCCAAGGACTTCAGTCTAGCAGCAGGGTTCTTCAGGATTTCTCATCACTGCCTCTTCCTGCTTCCAGGTGCCTCTGGGATTTGTAGTCCATGGTCAGTCAGCAGGATTCCACAAGGTTGCTCTCTGTCTGTCACACAGTCATATCACATTTTCAGTGCACACAATGCATTACATTACACACTGCATATATTACAATACTATCTGCACATCTTGTTTGTGATTCCAGTAGTTATGGAGAAGCCACTGCAGTATTTGTAACAAAGCTACTGAAGCGGAGCTGGCAGTATATTTAAACAAAGTGCTGCTCAGCTGTAACTGTAGTGCAATAGAGGCTTGCTGTGTTTGAAATTCTCTTTAGCCTTCCGTATAGGTGCAGAGCTTATTGTTGAGTATTTTGTAGACAGTGGTGGTCAGGGCCCCCTCCTTTCACGGAGTTACTTTTTTATTTAGAAAACTAGCCATTCTGTTTCATGCTGCTGTTTTACCCCCCAAATTCTCTGTTGGTTTTGATGGCTGATCACCAGGGTTCCCAGTTTTCTCTATTAAAAATCCAAAATTCTCTGATTGAAAACCCCCAAATCCATGTTTTTTCATGATTAAAGTGAAATTTTGACATTTGATTTGAGTTTTTTTATCATAGAAAATCAGAGCTCCCCCTGCCCCCTTTGCTCACCAGGACATGGGTCCAGCTGCCCCCCTCCCCCCACTGAGCAGTCCTGATATGTTGGTGCCCCTCACTCCTGAGCTACAGCCCCCACCAGCCCTGCCAGTGTCCCTTACTCTTGACCTGCAGTCCTTGTCCACACTACAGAAAATTGCGGCAAGCCTTACCAGAGTCTTGGAACATGGAGACAGGGGCTTGGGAGCAATACAGGACTGCCAGGTACCAGCTGACATTACATTCAGGGTTTGGCCCCTCACCAGCTGCTGCAAGATCTCAGGCAGAGGCCATTCCCCACTACAGAAGAAGGCAACCCCCCAGTCTGTATCTGTATCAATCTGACCAGGGGAAAACTAATTCCTGACCCCAATGCAACGTAAGTCTAACCCTGAGCTGGAGGGGAAAGACCCTGTAGCCAGGCCCCCTCCAGGGCTGAGTCTCAGCCAGAACATAGGCACATCCCTGACCAACCTCTTCATGAATACCTCCAGTGCTGAAGAGTTCACAGCTTCTCTGGATTTTTGTTCCACTTCCCCCTGCTCTAAATGAGAGTTGAACTAGAATTGAACCAGAACCTAAAATCTGGTTTGAACTAGTGTTTTGTCTTGAACTGAACGATCATTTGCCCTGTCCTGAACTATGATGGGAACCAAGCTGCAAAAAAATCACTGGGGTCACCAGTTAGACTTGTGCCACTGGTTAGAGCACAGTTATTGGTTAACTGGGAGTCGCCAGGTAACCCACCAGTCAGATTGAGGTGACTGGTTCAGCCTTCATTAAAACTGCATTAATCCTCCCACTGGGGCCAGAGGATGGCAGGACCTGCTCCCCGCAGCCCTGCCAGTGTGACCTGCACCCCCCTGTCCTGGGCCATGATCTACAGGTGGGTATACGGGGCAGGGGGTGGGGGGACATGGAGCCGGGGGAGTGCTTTCTGGAGCTTGGCCCCTACCCTGATGGTGCAAGGGTGGTCTGGACTCACCAGAGCTTGGCCCCTGATGACCCAGACTGGCCCTGCGCCATCAAGGCCATGCACCAAGCTCTGGCATGCCCAGACTGCCCCTATGTCATTAAGTGGGGCCCTGATGGTGCAGGGCTGGTTCAGGCTCACCAGAGCTTGGCCTCTAGCCCCAATGGTGCAGGAATGATTCCCAAGCCATGGCACTCCAACTCTTTCCTTCCTCCCCAAAAGATTTACCTGCACACAGCTGCCCTCTCTGGCTATATTCTGGCCACTTACATGTGCGTGTGCATATACACATGACACCCCCTGCCCTGCAGCCCCAGTTTTTTTTTCCCTTTACCTCCCTAGCCCTGCCTCCCATTGCTCTCCCCCTGCTCCCCCCAGCCCCAAAGCAGCACGTTGCACGTTGGAACTTCACCAGCCTGCAAGGGGAAACCCACAGCTTCCCACTTCAAAGAGGAAAAATCTGGGTTCTTTTCCTCTAAAGGAGAAAATCCACGGTTTTGGCAGGAAACAGAAAACCCAGATCCCTGCTTATCACACACACGATGCTGAATATCCTAATGGCATGTGGTTGAAGGGTTGCCCAGACAATTTTTAGAATCATACAACTGTGATATTGGGAGGGATCTCAAAGGTCAACTAGTTCAATCCTCTGCACAGATATAGGATATAATGGTCCTAATAAAGGTCTATCCATCCTCTTGAAATTGTCCAGTGAAGGAAACTGATATCCCACTGAACCAAATGCTCACTGTATCTGAATGAGCAGATACAGGGGCACGTGGGATCAGGGTGGGAGAGTGAGGGCCTCCCTATGACTTCAGTGCCAAGTGGAGAGTCCTGTCTGGCATTTAGGAACAGCCCATACAGGTAGTTTGTATACAGCCCCCACTCCCACAGTGCTCAGATCCAACTCTTATATTCTAGTAATAATTAAAACCTCTTTTGAGACTAAGGAGCACGTCATTCAGTCCTCATGCTAGCAATTTACTTCCTTTGGAATGAGGCAAGTGACAGAATCCCTTTATACATGTGTGTTTGCATGTTCTAATAAAGGTCAAAATCATACCCCTAATGTATTCAGTCACACAACTTCAGTGCCACTTGCTCACATACACATGCCTTCTTCCTGCTCCCCCTTGCTATATACATGCACATACCACTGAAATTTGCCCTTCCCCTGGGCTCACCCACACCACTAAGGATTGCCATGAAAAAGCATAAGGCCCAGATTCCTCCACCCTCCCCTGATCAACCTGCCACATATTCTGACAGTTTACTTTCTGCAACCCCCACCCCCACAATCACACACCTGCACTTCTCTCTCTCTCTGTTCTCTCCCTCTCCCATCCACACACAAAATGAGGGCTACCCCTTATGACTCTCACCATCCTGCATACCAATTTCTCTTGCCCCAAAACAGTATAATTCTTCCTATGTACATACTTTTCCCCCACAATTCACTCTGCCAACCCTCCTTCCACATGTCCTACACTGAACTGAAATAGTCACAGGGTGAAACTTGAGCTGCTCTCTGAACTATTGTGCTCTCCAGGCTGCTCTCTCATATTCCAGCTGGGCTAATCTCCGGGCTGGGCTTCTTAACACCTGCGTTTCCCACACCCTTGTTATCCCCATGGGATCCCAACTGTCTGCTGCCTCATACAGTGTAAGAAACTTGCTTTGGAATCCAATCACTTCCCTGCTGAGGAAGCCGGAGAGCAAGCAGCAGCTGTAGGCAGACCCCATCCTGGCAGGGTTACAGAAACCATGATGCCTGCTGCAGTTTTGGGTAGCCACTGGGATGGAAATACTGAATGCTGGGGCTTCTTGGAAAGGAAGCATACCAGGAAATAGCAAGAGCCTGCCAGGGCAAAGCAAAGATGAAGAATGAGCTGCACCTGGTGAGGGAAGTTAAAGACAACAAGAAGAGGTTCTATGTTAGCCAAAAAGAAAGGCTAAGGAAGCTGTGGGTCCACTATTAAATAGCCAGGGGTAACTCTTAGCAACAGCTACATTGTCTGTCTTCACAAAAAAATTAAGCTCCAACCAGACACCTAATAAAGATTAGTTGGGTAAGGATGGAAACAAGCTGATACATGAGATAACAGAGAGGCTCAAAGAGCTATTTATGGGTCTGAATGAATTCAAGAGAAAGAGGGAAAGTGTGGGTCCCTTACTAAATGGGCAAGGCAACCTAGTGACAGATGATGCAGAAAAGGCTGAACTACTCAATGTCTTTTCCACCTCAGTCTTCACAGGCAAGGTCAGCTCCTAGACTACTGCACCTGGCAACATAGTTCGGGGAGAAGGTGAGCAGCCAACAGTGGTGAAAGAACAGGTTAGGGACTATTTAGAAAAGCTGGGCATGTATAGGACCATAGGACCAGACACACATGCAAGCGTGCTGGGGGGTTGGCTAATGTGACTGCAGAGTCACTAGCCATTATCTTTGAAAACTTGTGGCAATTGGGAGAGGTCTTGGATGATTGGAAAAGGGCAAATATAGGGCCCATCTTTAAGAAAGGGAAAATGAGGA